AAAATGGTTTAATCATAAAACAGTGAAAATTTAAAACTAGCACATATAAATCCAGGACATAAAATTAAATAATTAAAATTAAATAAAAATTCCTATTATATAATACACGATTGTTATTATAATTTATCCTTTACATTTTATAATATTATGTAAATATGCTGACGCACATTTATCAAAGACAGAATTGTGACGTCTTTCTTTTTTTTTAAAAGAGAAATCTGTATGTTTTACAGTTACACGCTGTTATATTTTCCACTAAAACGGGACAAAGTGTACTTTGCATTTAGAGCGAAAGAGAGAAAGGAGAAAAATCCCGCAAAAACAAGCGCACCTGAAACGTACGAATTCCGCAAATCATTGCTGTTTCTCAATTTATATTAGGAATAAATTCGTGGTGGTTAAACCGCGTGAAATGAGAGGAAAAGCCTGCCTGCCTGCCTGCCTGCCTGCTTTTGCCTGCCCTTCCTGCCGATTGTGTATGTTGCCTGCCGTCGGTTTAGGTTTGCGAACCTGAGACAAACAGGCAGTATGCCATCCCGCTTCTGCCTTCGGGCACGGTGGGGCTTTTTACGAGCGACAAACACGCGGCTCGAAAAGCACCTCGGATTTCGATTTACAAGCGAGCGAGCGAGTAAGCGAGAAGAACGAGAGAAAGAAAGAGAAAAACAGGACGAGAGTATTCCGTTCGTATAGACGGACGGACGGACGGACGAATGAACGCACGTACACGAATGCACATCGCGTAAAAAGACATGTAAACGTAAACCAGTGGGTCGGTGAAGAGAGGAAAGGAAAGAGATTCGATCGTGCCGTCTGCGATCATAATACAAAAATGCATTAAGGAAAAAAAAAAAAAAAAATATCCGTAGAGGGAAAAACCTTCGTTTTTACTTGCGTAAAAAGAGTATCGTTATCGGGTTCGACATCCCGGCGCGTTTTTCGCCTGGGTCTGATCAGCACACCATCGACGATTTCATTGCGCATCGGCGACGGAAAAGAAACAAGGGTGCGAATGCCTGAACGCGCGATGTGTACAAATTTATTATGGTAGCGCGGCGCGATTCCTCACACATCACACATACACACAGGCATACACACACGCGCACGCGCGCGACGTAACGAAACAATGCGTACGTACAACGCGTTAATGGTTAGGCGAAAAAGGCGAGCACACGCGTATTAATCTTAACCGCGAGAAACGGCAAGGCGACGATGGTTAAAATGAAAAAAACGTAAAAGGCGAAAAATTCATGACGACCGAAACGACGCGCGCGGGGAGTAAACAAGACAAGGAATGTCCGTTCTCGTCTTGTTGATTTCCTCGGCGCAATCTGTATCGTCGCGCGAATTGCGGAAAAACCGCGAGGAATCGCGGAGCAAAACGGAGAAAAACGCACACAGGCGGGAGAATCGCATACTCACCCTGAACACAGCTCCGTCCATGAATTTCCTGCCGAGATCCCTCATCGCAGCGGAGCCAATGTAGCCACACCGTACGCGGTTCGCGCACGCGAACCCGTCTCAGGTATCGGGAATATCCTAGGCGACCGCGCGAAGGGGGAGCGAGATAGAACGATCGTGGGAAGAAGGAGCGAGGATCGAGAGAGAAGGAAGACGGGAAAGAGGAGAAAGATGTGCGAGTACACGCAACGAGACGAGCCCGGAGCGACGGTCGACGACGATCGCTGTTGCCGTTCCCACTTCACGGTAATCCCCGCACGCATGCACACACGCACATGCACACGCACATGTATATGTATACACACATATACACACACACACACACACACACACACACACTTGGCGGGTCGACCCGGAGGGTCGAGGAACGCGCACACTGACACGCACGACGATGAGGACGGCGACGTTGGCGACGATTTCACGCGCTACTCAGCTCCAGTCCAGTCCAAATCAACTCAAATCAACTCAACTCAATTCAACTCAATTCAACTCAAATCAGCTCAGCTCAGCTCAGTTCGACTCGGTTTAACTCGGCTCGGCTCGGTTTGGCATAGCGAGAAATACGCGAGATGCGGAACGTGCACGATCTGGCCCGTGTCACGTATGATGACGTCCGGCACGACGGAGAATTCTGTTTACATTCACGAGCGGTCACGGGAGGGGGAGGGGGACGTCCCCGTCCGCGGAACTCCGCGGCTCTCCTTTAACGTGGTACGCAGTATTCGCGGGTAAAAGACACACGAGGGTGTATGCGTGTGTTCGCGTGTACGCACGATTGCACTTAAGGTACGTATATACGCGATCAATCGCGCCAGTGCCGTCAATCTGACGGCGTCCGCAACGGCGACCACACAATGCGAAGATGGCGTCGTGCACGAGACGGAGGTTCGCGCTCTCCTCCTCTTCCTCCACCCCTCCTTCTCCTTCACCACCGTCACCACCACCCCTCCGCACCGCGCGCCGGGCGGCGCGTCGGGATCACTTCGTGCGCCGATCCTTCGCTTGCGCGCCTCCGGGATTCTCACGCGAGTTTCTTCCGCTCGGCTCGCACCCGTCCGCGCGGATTCTCGTACGCACGACGTACGCGTCTCTTAGTTTCCAGCTTCCGGCCACGCGCGAATCCAGGCCGCCGTGACGCACGTTCTCGTTTCCCGTGCGCTCGAGTTTGGCGATTGCGTTCCGCGGTGCTCGTAGCCTGTACAGTCACTGCGGGCGCTGACTAGCGCGCCGATCAAAGACTGACGTCACACAGCGAGACGTCAAACGCGATGCATTCTCGGAACGCGGACTCCGGACTAGAGGGCGCTATTGCACAGCGGTTTAAAAAAACAACCGGGAGAACGCGTCGATCCCATGATCCTGATTTTTTTTTTATAAATTTTCGGAGATAAACTCGCCTGATCTATGTCGGCTTTATGCGCTGGTTACCTTTTTCTTCAAAAGTGACAGGCATGCTATACGTGAATGATACGCGTATAATTCATTCAGTTCGATTCACTCAGGTCTGATTCATTTTTATTTTTAATGCCTATTCTTCTAACGTTCTATTAATTTTCTAATTTTGGTTTCTAATTTTGGTTTAATTTACTTTAATTTTTTTCTAATTCTTAGAACTCAAAAAAGGCTCAAAAGAAAATTAAATTGAAATTAAAATTACTATCTATAAACTAAAATAAACAAAAGCAACTTTGACCAAAGTTCATTTAAACGGTAATTAATTTGTCAAATGATATCTATATTACTTTATTAGCGTAAATAAAATTATCACTTTTTTATTGTTTAACAATTTGGAAACAAGATTAGATTAAAAATTAATTACTTTAATTCTAGATAAATCAATTGTAGATCATGTTTTAATTATAGGTGAAATGATTTTAAGGCGATTTTAAATAAATTTCGACTTAATTTAATTGGGTAATTAATATAAAATTGTCTTGAAAGAGAAAATTTTCTTACTACGAATTCCTTGATTTCTGAATTCCTTAATTTAACATTTCTTTGTACATTTCTTTCTATTTTAACATTTCCATATGTATTAAATGACAAGTTAATAAATTTTATCCGCGTTAACAAAATAGATACAAATTTAATTATAAGCTTACAAGTTATACAAGTAAAAATACATAAATACAAGTAAAATTGCCATATATATATATATATATATATATATATAATATATATATATATATATATATATATATATATATATATATATAATAATAATAGTATATAATAATAATAATATATATA